GTGCCGGCTCAGGCAGCAAACATAGCAACTGCTGAGAAAACGTTACCGGAAGGGAAGTCAGACACTTGCCCTCTCACAGAGTAATAGCTAGAGCGCTATTAGCTGCCAAGACACCACAGTGTGTAAATACATTAAAATAACTTGAGTGCTATAGCAAAGGAAGTAATCAAAGAATTACATTGCTGGATACTGCCACCAAACGACACAAAATAGTAGTTAACCAAATCTAAGAGATTTGTGTGAGATACAGATTTTGATCTCACACTACTACGAATGGCCAATTGTACTTGGATCCATTATAAGTAAATTCGATATCAGGAGCTAGTCCTTGCCAACATAGCGTGAATGCTTTTAATAGATTCTTTTCATTTCCACAAACAATTGTGATCCAATGTGGGTCCGGTATGATATCTACATCAATGAGACAAATTTGTTTTAATGGTTTTGGATCGTCTTTCCAATGAACAGTCATACAAATCATAAATATATTATCTTCTTTATGTCTCGCCATAGGTACATGCTCTAACCCACGTGTTGAATGTGTTTCGATATCCCATGTAAGAATTAATGCTCGATCATGAGTGATAAGTGAAGAATGGTAAGTCTTATCTAATACTGTGTGATCCTCTATGTGGCGAAAATTATTAATAGATACATAAAAACATCAGGAAACTTTTCCCACCATAATATTACATCCGTAAGTTTTAATATGAAATGTTGTAATATTTCACATAAAAAGGATGTAATATTTACACTGAATGTAATAATTGCGTAATTTTTGTGCAATTTTTGCATAATATTACACTATTTACATAAGTTTATGGCGGGCCCCATAATATTACATAAATTTGCATCAGAAAAAATTTCCTGATGCAAGCATGCCCGCAGAGTGGAGAACGAGCACTGTAAGGCACCCTACCATTGTTGTATTCGTAATTAGTTAATATAGCCCACCCAGAGAGTGGTATTCTATATTCTCAAGCTACTTTTCGATAATATGCGCTTCTATCATCTGATGCTGTTTCTAAGTTATGTTTTAGGATAATATTCAGAGCGATTTTTCTTTGAAGAGTGGTCGTGGTGTAAATTCGAAGATACGACTTTTTTTCTGCATGGTAACCACAAATAGGGAATGCTTTTACATGCTCTATCCGAATTTTGCTTGTGTCCACAGTTTCTCCTTCATCATCTTTCCCATTTCTAAATGTATCCTTTATTTCAGTCTTGAATACATCAACAGTTTTATCATCAGGAATACGGATATCAAAGAAAACCTTAATACCTGAAATAGTTACTATGGCTTTTTCTCCATTGACAAGACATACATAGATATGTAATACATAATGTGGAGTATTGTTTGTATACTCATTATATTCTTCAATATCAACAGGCATAAATGGGATATCTTCTTTATTGTTTAATATTCGTTTAATGATTTTTGTTGAGCCATAATCATCATTTTCCGCAACTATTTCATTACGGGTGGGTAAACCTGGTAAATAATCTTCTCCATTGTATTGAAATAGTTGACCTGCTTTTTTACTTTCCGAAATATGTAATTCACAATGGGTGCCATTGGTTTCGTTTTCTGGGTTTTCTGTGCCGTTGTTTTGGGTTTCTGCGTTCATGTTGAGTTTACTTTTATTATTTCGAAAGTATAACTTATATTATTTTGAAAGTATAATATATGTTATAATAAAGTTCAAATTAAAATTATTTATTTAGAAATATTAGTGTTAGACATAAAATATACACATTAAGAGTGAAACTAGATCCGCTAAAAAATTGTATTATAAAAATTTTTAGGTATGGCGTTTTATCGTTGCTCCTATATTCTTAGAACTGGCATGGAATGTAACCGGGGATGTTATCACCCAAAGGGGTGCAAAGTTCATAGGAATTCCCCTGCATATCTACCTTGCGAAGAATGTGGCGAAAGAACTTACTCTGATTATGGTTTTTGTACAGAACATTCTGGTAAGTATCAAGTCAGAGATTATTATCAACAGAAAAAGCTTGAAAAGTGCTTCAGAGATAAAAGAGACTGAATAAACGATATATATCAAGAAGTTAATAAAACGAGCTGAAACTTCTAAGAAAAGTGTCACAACTTGTCATGAGTTCACCACAAGTGAAAAAATCGGTAGAAAGGTGCGTTCTTGAGAGTCTGAGCTCGAATAAAACTGTTCTCAATGACTGTCATAACTGTCATAAGTTTCTTAGGTTAATTTATCAAGTCCCACCTTTTTTCTTTTTTTTTCTATAGGTGTACCATATGTATATATCAAGGGTAGGTATATAACAGATATATGTGTCAGGTATCGGACCCAGACACTTTACCGACACCCACTTGACCGACAGGACACTTTACTGAGACCCACTTTACCGACAAGACACTTTACCGACAGGACATTTTACTGACAGGACATTTTACTGACAGGACATTTTACTGACAGGACACTTTACCAACAGGACACTTTACTGACAGGACACTTTACTGACAGGACATTTTACCAACAAGACACTTTACCAACAGGACACTTTACCAACAAGACACTTTACCAACAGGACACTTTACCAACAGGACACTTTACTGATAAGTATTGTGTTAACAGTTTGCCAAGGACTGTGTGAAGACCTGGATAATTAGCTAAAAATTTGGTTTTTTACAACAA